TTGTTTACATATGTATGTATGTGACGATGTTTGTCTGTCTTCTGTTTTATTTAAATTTGTACTGTATATGTTGTATGTATGTCTCATCTGTGTTCTTTCCTGTACAGAAAACAAATTCCACTGAATTATGTTGTGTGGCACTTAAGAATAAAGAAATAAAGAAGAAAGAAAGCATCATGTTTTAAGAGAGATGCATACCTCAGGTTGTGTGCTGAGCTGTCACTCAGGTTATTGAAGCTTTATAAACTGAGCTGCACAGAACTTAGACAATATATCTGGGAGAGTTTGGATGCTGTAGGTTTTACAAGAGATTTTCTTCCCTCCAAAATAAATCTAGACTGAAGTTTGCCCTGAAATTTGACATTAAAGAGATATGTTTTTACTGTCAGCTAATTGACAAGGCAGGCAGTGTAGCATTTGAAAACCATCAACATCACTTTCAATAAACAATTATCCAATTTAGGGTCACAGTTACCCAGAGGCTGTCCCAGGAAGCGCTGGACACAAGGCAGGACTTAATTTAACCTGCCAGCATGTTTATGGACTGTTGGAGAAAACTGGAACACCAGACAAACATGGGGAGAACATACAAACTCCACACAGATAGCACCCCAGATCTGGAATTGAACCCAGGGCCCCAGTGTGATATCTCCTGCAATGAGCTGATGGAAGCAGTAACCTGGAGACTGAATCCAGGTACAGGCTCTGCTGGAAGCAAGCAGGGCAGGCAGGAGAAAGTGAAACTAGAGATGTTATCGAAAAGGCAGGGGTTGAGCTGAGAGGAACTGATTAAAGCACCAGCGTGAGTCGGAAGGAGAGGGTTCAAAGCACAGGGATCAGTCCAAGACATTGTCAAATGGGCAACGTCAAAGCACAGAGAGAGAGGAGAAAACACTGGGGACACTCAAAGTTTGGAAGAAGGAAATATGACTCTAAGATGAGAGATTAACAAATAGATAAGGTTTGCATACCTAACTAACTTCCAAAGCTACATCCTCTCAGATATAAAGTATGTACAATATCAGAAAACAGAGGAGGAATACTCAAAAGTCAAAAGTAAGATGCAAATAAGAAAAGGAGATTGGCACTTCCACAGCAATTGAAGAAGCTAAAACCATTCAAATCTGCATAAATCCAATAATTCACATGCATGGAGAGAATATGAGTAAAAAAAATATATTCAATATTTGAAGAAACATAAACTGCTGGAAGAATGGCTGGGAACACCTGGCATATCCTAAATGAAGAAGGATTCTATGAATGAAATCTCATGAAAAATATTACCCACAGAATTCTAAACCAAAAACAACATACTGTATGTGTGTGTAATAAAGATGGGCAAAATAGGAAAGATTGCATATTGAATCTCTTAGTAATGAGATATTAACAAATAACAATAGTCTTTGTATATGCCCGGTTTCTTTTTTATTTTATAATTCCTAGGTGTGGATGCATGTGAAAAAGGCGATATACTGTGTCACAGCATATCTAAATAAAACAATAAAAAACAAAGAAATCACTTACCTCACTGTTGTTAATTCACTGTTGTGTTCACTTACCTCAGTGTTGTTAATTTACAGTTGGGATCCTTCAGAGCTGCAGACAACAGCTTCACTCCTGAATCCCCCAGGTTATTGTAACTCAGATCCAGCTCTCTCAGACTGGAGCACTGAGACTGAAGAGCAGAGGCCAGATTTTCACAACATCTCTCTGTTAGTTTACACCATGACATCCTGCAGACAAAAAGACAGGAGCACAGCTGAACATCTGCACAGCTCATCCACATCTTTCTTTCCAAGTCTTCACTACAGCACCCAGCTCAGCAGTAATATACAACATCATGTCATTATCCATCTCAGAGTGTCCATGGATGA